GGCAGAGCGGACGCATGAGCGTGCGTGAACTCGCGGCGTGGGCGTCTGTTGGTGCGGGGCTGCGGGCTCGGGTCGGTTGCATACTTGCGTTGCGTGTCGGTAGCGGCAGGCCCCCGCTGTCCGCCTGTCCCGCACCGCAAATCCGCCATCACCGCCACCCCTGGTAGGCTGGTACCTTCTTTTTCGCGAATCCACCCAGGTTACTATTTTTACATATATATATACAATCAGTCACCAGAGAGCAGGGTGATTTGTGAACGGTCGCACGGAAGAATAGTATGTTGTATGCAGGTGAAGTCCCTCCTACCTCGCATGGAGTATATATAATATACCATGACTAGGATTAATCCTCAAATGGCAGTCTAGGTCTAAAACTCTATCGGTCTATCCTAGTCCTGTTTCACAAACAAGAGTGTGATGGCCTGGTGTGGGTAAGCGTTGGGCTTCTTAATGCCATGTTTGGTTCCGCTTAAATGCGCGTTGCGGCCGAGACAAGCAGGATAATCCCGCCAAATGGCTCCCATCGCGAACGCGGCGTTCGCGCTCGATTTCGGTCCCGCAACGGCGATTGGAAACGCGACCGAAGGGCTGCGATTTGGAAAATGCGAGCCGCGTTCCGGAGTGCTCACCCTCCATCCCGAGCGCCACGCTGGATCCGCCCTCCCGAAGCTCCTGTCGGCTGGCCGCCTGCAGCTCCCGTCGGCCGGATCCGCCTGCCTGCCGGCGCCGGAGCTGCTCCCCTCGTCTGGAGATCACGCCAAATCTCCGAGCCCACAACCGAAGCTCCTCCCCCCAAGAAGAAGAAGGACCTAGATGTAAATAGAAACTTTTATTTAGGTCTAGTTGCAAGGCTATAGACTCACAGGAATAGTAGTAAACAATGCTACGTAGTTTGAAAATAATCCAGGTTCCGAGTGCAAAATGTTCAACCCAAAATAATCGGGACAACCAAACACATCAGCTTAGATTCTACATATCATGGCTTATCAGATAATCTTGCTCGGCTTAGAAACAAGACCCACATGAGCTGAACCAAACAGGGCCTAAAAAGGGAGAAGCTACACAAAGTCACACTTTGGTGCCTTCCGCTTCTGCCCTAAAACGGCCTCGACTTTATCCTTTTAGACTTGATTTGGCTTTCATGTCCTTGTTTGGTAAAGCTTTTAATTAAACCGGTGAAGGCCAGTGAAAAAGCCACGCCAAAAAAGTTTGAGGACCTATTTGTTAGAGCTCTGACTCCGGCCAAAACAGATTCAGTTATAGCTTCACCTATGGAGCAAATTGAGCTAAAACTATTTTTTAAACCGTTTGGCAAAACAGCTACTCCTCCTGGTGGAAAAGGATGAAAGGTCCAAAATGCCCTTTCTATTTCTCTCTATTTATTCTTTCTCTATGTGCCTTATCACAAATGCAAGCACCACCTCACACGGATATCTCTTCTCGATCGTCGCTCCCCTGTTCATCTTCCCCGTGACCCCGCATCCACTTCCTCGCGCCATCCCGCACCGCGGCCACAGCTCCTTGCACCGTCGCCCTGCCCCCGCATCTTCCCGCCCGCGCCGTCGCCTCCGCCTCCCCGCGCCTTTGCCGCCCTTCGCAGCTCCCCGCTCGCCCCTGCCTTCGCACGCCCTCGCATCTCCCTGCCCTTCACAACTCCTAGGATGGCCGCACCCGCGTGCTCTTGCTCACGCCGAGGACAAACTCGTCCAGGGCTCACGCATCTGACAAAGAGCCGAGGGAAGCTCGATTTTTCAGCTCTATCTCCCGTCTCCGCTCTCTCTCAGCACAATTTACGGGACTTGTGCCTTGGAGCTGCTGTGCTTGGACCCGTTTGGTAGTTGGAGTCGTAAAACAGCTCCCGGAGCCGATCCGGGAACGCTACCAAACGGCCCCTGAAGTGAAGCAATGCCAAGCTTGTGGCGTACCACACTGAAAGGTCGAGATGGCGGACTAGAGGGGGGTGAATAGTCTTTTCTAAAATTAATCGCGTCGGCTAACCGATATAAATGCGGAATTAAAACAATCGGTCTAGCCAAGACTACACCCCTCTATATATGTTCACTAGCACCTTACAAAGATACTAATAAAGCAACTAAGGTGCCGGGCTAGCTAGAGCTCTCCTAAACAATTCTAGGAGCAAGGTCACACAAAACTATGCCACTAGTACTTTAAGTAACAAGGGAGCTCCTACACATGCTAGTAAGCAAAAGCACAAAGCTAACTAAGCTCACTAGCAATGCTCAATAACAAGGCAACCAACGCCTAATTAGAGAGTGCAAATACTTAGCTACACAAACTAAGCAATGTGACTAACAAGGTTACTAAAACCAAATTAGACACGCAAGGGAGCTACTTCTATGCTACACAAGCAAGAAGGTAATTAGCTAGCTACCCAAGCTATCTAATTACAAGAGCAACTACACAAGCTTAAGATATATATATATAAGTAATTGCAAGCTTGTGTAATGGGGATGCAAACCAATGGGAAGAACAAGGTTGACACGATGATTTTTCTCCCGAGGTTCACGTGTTTGCCAACACGCTAGTCCCCGTTGTGTCGACCGCTCACTTGGTGGTTCGGCAGCTAATTAGCATCACCCGCTAAACCCGCACGTCGGGCACCGCAAGAACCTACCCCTTGAGTGAGGGTAGCTCAATGACACGCTTTACTAAAGTTGCTCTTCGCGACTCCCGCGGGGCGAGCACAATGCCCCTCACAAGCACTTCTCCGGAGCGCCGCACAAGCTTCTTGCGCGCTTCGACGGAGACCACCACCAAGCCGTTTAGGAGGTGACAACCTCCAAGAGTAACAAGCACCACCGGCTTACGACTCGACCACCTAGTGCCACTCGGTGCAACCTCATGATGTAATCGCACTAGAATCGCTCACTCACACAATCGAATGATCACTATCAAGTATATGTGTGATGGAGGGCTTCTAAGCACTCACAAGCATGGACACTAAGTCCCTTGAGGTGCTCAGCACCAGCCATGGCCGAGGGCCACTTCTATTTATAGCCCCAAGGGCTAAACTAGCCGTTACCCCTTCACTGGGCAACGGTCGGGCCGACCGGACGCTCCGGTCGTGTTGACCGGACGCTGGACCTCAGCGTCCGGTCGCCCGCAGACGGCCACGTGTCCTGATTCCAACGGTCACTTGACTTGACCGGACGCAGCAACTTTCAACTGACCGGACGCTGAACCCCCAGCGTCCGGTCGTTTCCAGTAAGGTACCGACCTCGACCGGACGCGTCCGGTCACACTTGATCGGACGCAGCCAGCGTCCGGTCACACTCCAGCTTCTGCGTCATCGTACGTCAGCCTGACCGGACGCAGCCTGCCAGCGTCCGGTGCATTCAGATCCAGCGTCCGGTCAGTTGACCGACGCCAGCATCTTCGTGACTAACTCGTTTTCACTTCTAACTTCATCACCCTTGCTCCAATGTGCTAACCATAAGAACTTGCATCCGGCGCAATAGAAAATAGGCATTCTATTTTCCTGAAAGCGCCGAATCCCGTCGAGCAAGCTCGGCGGGAGGGAGAGAGGGACCCAAACCCATCTCACCCCTGCAAACACCACCTCCTTTGTAAATGTGCCAACACCACCAAGTGTACACCACCATGTGTATGTGTGTTAGTATTTTCACAATCATTTCCTAAAGGATGTTAGCCACTCAACTTGCCACGCCACTCGATCCTAGCGACAATGCAAAGTTAGATCACTCGAGTGGCACTAGATGACCGATATGCAAACAAGTTTGCCTCTCTTGATAGTACGGTCATCTATCCTAAACCCGGTCATAAACTTCTCTACACACCTATGACCGGTGAAATGAAATGCCCTAGGTTATACCTTTGCCTTGCGCATTCCATTCCATCTCCTTCAATGTCGATGCAACACATGCACCAACACGATCAACAATGATATGATCCACTTCATATCATCACATGATCATATTGGTTCATCGATCTTGACTTTACTTGCTCTTCACCGTTGCTATCGTCCATCGGCGCCAAGTCTTGCTCAAGCTTCACCGCCACGCGGTCCATCACTCCAAAGCCTTTGACTTGTCCTTCACGCTTGCAACCGGTCCATCAAGCCAAGTCTTGTCTTGATCTTCTCCACCTTGATCACATGACTCAATGTCATGTCTCATGTGCAATAAGCTCCTTCATCATCACATGTGTGAGCTTTGCAACATCTCCAAGCCATTTTCACCTCCATGACATATGTTGCTCGTACATATGTACCTGTGGACTAATCACCTGTGTATCTCATATAAACACAATTAGTCCACATAGATTGGCACTCAATTACCAAAACCAACCGGACCTTTCACACACACAGCGGTAGACGCGACGGGACCTGACATCTTTTACGAGTCGGCTGTGCAAGATGCCCATCGCCAGCGGTTGGGCTCCTGCTGCTCCAGAGCAACACTAATGGGCTAATGGCGGAGATAAAGGAGGGGGGAGACCCCTAAGCCCCTCTAGGTTCTATTGATTTTTCTTAATTAGACTAAATTTTAAAGAAATTTGTACTATTGTACCCCTAAAAAAGTAAAAATCGTATTTGTATCGCCGCCACTGACTCACTGGGCAACAGACTGAGACTGGTGTGATTTCGTTTTGTCTTAATAAAATAGAAACAAAAAATATTGTACTAGGCACTGTAGTCTTCAGGCAAGGGTGATAGATGATGGAAAGGAGCAGACCTGAGCTGAGCCGAATCAACTGGGGGGAAAAACACTTCACACTACAGTAGCATAACTTTTTTTATTCCAACAAAAGCACACGACACGACATGACATATTCTGCAACACGCACGTGGTAGGAAGATACAGTACGTACAGCAAACAACAGTACTAATGGTGACAGGGGCAGTGGCGGCCGCAACGTCATGTTGCCGGCCAGACTGGCAGTTCAGGGTTCCAGGGAATTCAGTGGTTTTAGGAATCAGTCGATCATCAATGCATCGAAGAAGGCAGGAACTGAACTGATTATTCACCACGAGCTCCGATGCTGGTAAGGGAGACCCCGAGCAGGAGCAAGGCGAACGTGGCAAAGCAGAGCGCGAGATGTGCCTCGCCGGAGACCATCGTGACGGCACAAGAAGCCAGGGCAAGCCCCACGGTGGCGGTGTTTCGGCACACAAACGCCGCGAGAGATCGTGCTCCACTGAACACCACCGGAACGATGGGATTGGGCGCGGGTCTATCGGCCGTGCCGACGCCGGCGACGACGAGGTTGGCGCCGACTACGACCCCCACAAAGCAGAGGAGTAAGCCGAAGCCGCCAAAGTGCATGCCCGTGCTGACAGAAAGCAGCATGACGATGAGGCCGATGGTCATCACCCTGCTTCCCGGAGTGCTCATCCCCAGCGGCGTGGCACCGTAGTCTGTAGTCCTCTGTTAACTGGAACATCAACAAGGCCAACGAAATTTTCTTTTTTACAGATTCGCAAGAATCACGGAACAAGGCAACGGAAAGGGAAGTATAGAATCGGTTAAAGAAGTTATTGCGGCGGCCGGAACGGTTGAGCTCAGACGCTAAAACATCTGCTTTTTTACACAGAAATCACCCGTTCTTTTCCCCCCATATTTAGAGTCGAAGATAAATTGGTAAGGCGAAGGAGAAGGAACACTACCGTTGGTGGTGAGGACGCGGATGATTCAGAGCTAAGGACCTTCGCAGTTCCCCGTATCCTGTGGCTGCTCTGCTCACGGGGCCTCCGGTCGCTAGCAAGAACTTCACGTCGGGCTGGATGCTGCCGAGGGAGAACAGGAGGCAGTGCGCGGGTTGGGGACGAGGGGCTGGCTGGGCTGGCCCCTCACATAAATACTATTCATATGAACCAGCCAATGTTACTTCTCTCTCACGTAAACGAACCAGCAACGATACGAACCAGCCAACCGAACAGGCTGGGTCGAAGGGCTGTGCGCTTATAAAGCAGCCCGCTAACCACGGTCGCTTCCTCGGGCCACGAGCCGACTGCGGTTAGCTTACCGGGGACGGGGAGGGAAGGGTCGTCGGGGATCTCGGGCGGGGGCTTTTCGGAGTAACTGAGCAACTGAGCAAGTGAGAGGTGGGACACGGGGGCAACTGAACCCTTGTTTAGTTCTCCAAAAACGCACTATGCAAAAAGAAGATTTTCTGTCACATCAAACTTGCGGTACATGCATGGAGTACTAAATGTAGACGAAATAAAAAATTAATTGTACAGTTTGCTTTAACTTTGCGAGACGAATCTTTTGAGCCTAATTAGTCAATGTTTAGACAATAATTCACAAATACAAACGAAATGGTACAGTGGAGAATCGTGCACTATGCAAAGTTTGCAAACTTCGCCGAACTAAACGCACCATGAGCAAATGGCAACTGAGCAACTGAGCATGTGGCAGGAAATTATATATTTATAGATACAAAAATTAGCACTAATGTCTCTTTTTATCTTCAATCTAAACAAATCAGTACTTGTCTGAGATGAAGAAATAGAAAAGATTAAAAATAAATAGTTTTCTTAAAGTCAACATTAAAATCAATAATGTTTAAGCCGATATTAATGTTTGACACTTGTAGCCTAAAAAATTTTGTTGAGAGTTTGCGGACTACCCCTATATCTAAATCCTGGCTCCGGTCCTTTCAAAAGACATTTTGCATAGAGATTACAACATTCTTCTCGACTCAGTATTGAACGCCAAAATAGCCGATTTTGATTTGCAATTGGGCATATACTCACGAATTATGTGTCACTGTGTGCTTGAACTGTTTCTATTGTGTTGTTGTTTAAGTGGCTATCTAGTCCTTGAATTGTCTCAACACGGGGAGTTTTCAACAACAAAAATGATATCTATGGTGTCATCATGTTGGAGATCTTAACTGGTTATGCTATCAGTAAATTCAACATTAATGGTTCCACCAATCTGATTGCCCATGTAAGTGATTATATGATGTGTGCAGTGTTTATGTACCACATTACCCGTTCGCTTCGCTGAAAAAATAAGCCGAAACACTGTTCCGGCTAATTTGTTGTGAGAGAAAAACACTATTCTGATTGAAAAAACAAGCTTAGAAGTACGGATTATAAAACAAGCGAACAGGGCCTATGACATTTGTTTCCATAGGGGCCACGACACAATTATTTCTGACCTTTTGATGCTTCCATGAACAGGTATGGTCCCTTTTTAAGTTGAACAAGGCCGCGGACATTCTTGATTGTGGACATCTTGGCATCACTTATTCTCAAGATTTGAAAGAAGCCCTACACTGTATAAAGGTAGCTTTGTTATGCATTGAGAATGAGCCGTCCTTCACCGAAACTTCTCGATATAGGAGGAGGCTTGATAATTTTTCTGCCTTTGTGGGGCGGAGCCAGCGGGGCTAGCAGGGGCCATGCCCCCCTAACAACACAACATATTTTTTGCTCAATATGTATATTAAAATAAATAATAAAGAATTTTACCATATATATATTTATTGGCTGTGATATTTTAATTAACTAGTTAATGATGTTATTTGTACTTCGAGTTCTTGTCCTCTTCATATTAATCTCTTATAGCATTTTATATAAATAAATAATAGTATTTCTATTATTTTTCTCCATCTCTTTTGTTCCCACAATAACCCTTTAACTAGCTAGTTAAATATAATTAGTGCTTTATTGTTTACTGTCCTTTTGAATTGATCTCTATTAACACCTATCTTATTGGGAATTAGTCTTCCTGTTATTACCGTGATTTTTTTAGCCCAAGAATTAGATTGATCGCCATATGAGTGTCAGAGACCTTGGGCTAATTAATTTTGTTTCTTTTTTTTATCTAAAATATTTTTGCGTTCTTTTTCTACTTTTTAGTTTTATTTTGTATTATAACAAAAAATATTTATTTGGCTGTTATATATATACTTTGACCGTACATATATTATATATATCATGTATGATCGTTATTGGATCGAACAGCCCCCTATGTTCAAATGGACGTCACCATTTGTTTTTTCTTCTGCGTGTTGGATGCAGTGGAGTTGTCGTTTCAGGTTCATTTGTCAGGCAAAGAATATACTCTCTCCGTCCCTAATTAACTATTGTTTTTTATTTTCGTGCCATAAGTTTGACTAGATTTGTATAAAATACATGCAACATTTATATCTCCAAACAAATTTATTATGGAAATAGATTCAACGATATATCTAATGATATTAATTTTGCACCATAAATATGATTATGTTTTTATATATATTTAGTCAAAGTTGTTTCTTAGGAAGCGAAAACGACAGTTACCTTTTTTACTAACACTGCTCACCTTTTCCTATTTACTTAACCATGCCTCTAATTCCACCGTACCACACGAGCTCATTTTTTTTGTGGTGTACGTAACTGACAGTCGATAGTCCACGCTCGTTGTTGCTCTTCATGTCCGTACACCTGCACCTCTCTGATGCATTTTGATGAAAACGCATGGTGTTGCTATTTTCATAAAAAAAACATATTGACGTGCAGCTACAGGACTTGCTTCATACTAAATGTTGCGGGTGCGGGCAGAATATCGTGACAATTCACAGCGCTTATCTAGCCACAAGATCATGATTGGTCGGTCTCACCCGCTCCGTTGCCATGCGACGCCGACCGTGGAGTCCGCGAGCGAGACCGGACACGTACGCCTGCTGCGTCGGAATCGGAACCCAACGACCCATCGAGCTCTGGTGTGCCGATGCTCGTATCTGGCCGCCGTGCAGCATTTGACTGCACGTCTCTGGACACGGTCGAGGCTGCAAGGTAGATTGATCGTTGTTGATGCAGAGCTATGCACGCTGCTGCAGTCAATTTGCCTGCGCCACAGCAACGAACAGACACAGAGATGTGCTAGTGTCAGGTGGTGTTTGGATCAAGTGATTAAAATTTAGGAGGTGTGTCGAGAGGATGTTGAATGGGGTGTTCGGATACTAATAAAAAACAAATTATATCATTCGTCAGTACTCCACGAGACGAATTTGTTAAGCCTAATTAATCTGTCATTAACACATATTTACTGGAGCAACACATTATCAAATCATGGACTAATTAGGCTTAAAAGATTCGTCTCGTAAATTAGTCGCAAACTATGCAATTAGTTTCGTAATTAGTCTATATTTAATACTCCATACATGTGTCAAACATTCAATATGATAGCGACTAAAATTTATAAGTAACAACCAAACACCATCTTAATCACCGAGCAAATAGCTGGCGAAAGGCGAGCGAGACGTCCTAGTGTTGTATGAGCATGAATTCAGGACGACTGGGCTGCCGGTCTACGGATTTGATGGCGCCTACCGGAAAGAAACGCACATGGAGCCATGGAGATGAGATGACGCTCAGTTGATAAGTGCCACAGCGGCATGTTCCAACGAGCATCGGCGGCCAGCTTGTTGTCGCTGAGGACGAATTAACAAACGATTTAGGCTCCAAAAGAAAATGCGCGCCATTCCTACTCTACAAACTTGTGATTCTTTCTCTCTCTCTTTTCCGTTTCTTTTTTTAGAAGATGCCACTTGAATTATTTCTCTCTGCGGACAGGACAATCATGCAGGATAGGAGAGGGGGACCAGGTCGGCGACAGCAACTTGGGATCTGAAAACGCGCCCGCTTCCGCTTGCATGCATGTGTCCCCGGCTCCCGTGAATATACTAATCCGGTAATCCCAAACCGGTCGCTTCCATGTTGCTGCAGACTGCAGTGCAGGGCTGCTTCTGTCTGCACGCACGGCGGATCCCAAACCGGTCGCTTCCATGTTACTACTACACGCTGTGCAAAAACGAAAAACGGAGCTCTTGGCCGTCCTGTATCGCACCTGCAACTGCTGCATGAATTCCACAGCAGTGCGCGGTGGCTGCCTCTGTCTGCACGCACGGCGGATCCGGACGCGCGCGCACACACACACACCGGGTGGCGTGCTGTACCTGTGCGCCGGGGCGGGTTCGCGCGCGAACACGAACACGAGGAAGGAGGCGGTCAGAAAGTAACGCGCGCGAACGCCGCACGGAACACCCACATGTGGCAGTGCCGTAGCTAGGGGGACCACCCTAGAATTTTGAACAAAGTATTACAAGTATTTCGATAGTAAATTATTTTAAGTAATTTTTAGAGTTTACAAGATATATACCCGTACGTTGCACTGGTGTCACAATATTTTGAATTAAACATTAGTAATCTGACGTGGACGTATGAGCTCCGAGGACTTGGTATCAGACGTGGGCAGGTGGATATGGTCTTCGTATCGTAACCCGGTAGGACGCGGACGTGTGAGCTCCGAGTAGAATATGATTCGTATAAGATATAGACACATGAGCAATGATCAAGATTTGGTATCATCAGGTAGATGATGACTTTAGAATCCTTTTA